TTGACTTGAGTAGAAGCGGCAAAAACCCAGAAAAATCGCTGATTCGAAATAAGTTTCACACCAACATATAGAACATTACACTAACTGCGGTATTTTAGCACACCGAAACACTAAATTACATAGCTACACAAAAGAAACAGCTGAAAGAATCAGAACGAAGAAAGCCGACCGCCATTGCTTGCAAAGATGGCGGACATAATAGTTCCCGCCTCATTCTGATTGGTTGCCGAGCTGAGGGGCACATTTACGAGATTGAGTTGCGCTTAATTGCAGCCCCCTATTAAACCTCGGCTTCTCAGCCTCAGTGAAGATCTGGGATTATTCGAAAATATCAAGTCAGTAGACCGTTAGAGAAATGGTTGGACACCGTCGCTCTTAAACTACGTGTTTAAGGACAGGGACATTGTGTTGGTTGAATTAACCAATGTTTTTTTGTACTTGTTGATTGCTCGATTTCGAATTCTAAATACAATACATTCGTTTGTGCTCATCTAGTACTTTATGATTCAATTGCGTCATTTCTGGGATTTTTAGTTCATACTATAATTCAAATACTCCTAATCATCATATTGGCGCCGCAATTGAGCCCCTGATGGAAAGATTGGACATACATTCAGATTTTGATGCGTTTTAGGATTACTTGGAAAGATTAGAAATCTAGGCTATGATCAAGGAAGATATTAGGGAGGCTGATATTGTAACCCACTTCCTCACATTCATCGGAAAAGAGGCATACAGCTTATTAAGAACTCTGGCTATGCAGGAAAAGCCTATCTTGCTTCCTTATACAACTCTCAAGGATCTACTGCTAGACTATGCTCAGTATACAAATTTCGAATGTGGTGAAGGAGGAAGATTTCGTAAAATGATTCATGAGGATATAAAAAATTCCACTACATTACTACGTCATCCCAACCCAGTACATACTCAATGTTATGAAGATAATTCATTGAGGAGTCGCAATGCAGTTCATGAAGATGGACACACGTTTGATCGATGTTTGTCTTGTGGCAAGTCTCACCCATGTAATTCATGTGCACTTCATAAGTCTGAATACTTTAAATGTGGTGTTATTAAACATATTCAGTCAGTCTGTAATACTACTGTTCATCTTGCTGCAACTAATATTAAGTCTTGTAATTCTGATTCTATTAAGTCCAGTGTTCCTAATGATCATTTATCCTCATCAACGATTTCAAAAGACAGTGTAGAGTCATATAGCAGTTCAGAGTTAAATGAAACCCAGAATCCTTGCGAGACAACAGTTTCTAATCAATCAACTTATCAAATTTCTCATGTTATTGTACCAGATATGGTTTTTCCTAATGATTCACTTATTTCTGAAGAAATTCCTTGAAATTCTGAGGAAAATATGTTGAATGAACCTAGTCATGATCGAAAACCTGATGTAGTTTTGATAGATGCTGATTTTTCTAATGATCCTTTACTCTGCAATCACATTCTTAATAAATTCGAGGAAACTATTTCAGAAGAGTCAAATTTTGATTTCATACGAAATATTATTTGTCCTCATAATGCATTTGTTTCTTGTGGGAATCTTGTCCAGTGCGAAGCACAAGTACTAAATAACCTCGATTTTGATTACAGTTCGGATGATTTCATATCAACTGCTGTCTATCCTTATCACGAAGTCACTTCTAATGTTTACTTTAACCAATGTGAGAAATATGTTTTAAATGAAGCCACATCATTCATAAATTGGGGATATGAAGATGCAACATTATTTCGTGGGGGAGGATAGTCTAAAAGTCTATGGTTCGAATTCTAGATATCAGTGACTTAAGTACACACAGCCGACATGTTGATCAAATACAATTCCAGCAACCAGGTGAGTCTGTTCCAATTTCGGTTTTTAATTCTAATACTAATGAGTGCATTCTAGATATTACAAAGTTTTTATCCAATACAATGTCGGACAGAGACAGGATGAACTTAAGAAGATGTACAGTCTATTACAGACACTTAGACTGCAATTCAAGCTGTGGTGAATGTGGTGTTCGAATGAACTAACGATTCCTTTGTACTTGTTGAATGCTTGATTTCGAATTCCAACTACAGCAAATTCGTTTGTGCTTATCTAGTATTTCTTGATTCAATTACGTTATTTCTGGTATTCTCAGTTCATACTATAATTCAAATACTTCTAATCATCATAAGATCTTTGTGTATTTTTTTTTTAAAAAAAAGAAAAACTGGAGATGATGGAATAGTGGTTTGTTTAGCAATGAATTTCACGGTGTTGATCACCGTTATTTTTTGTGAACTATCATTTATCAACTTGAGATATGGATGAATAGTGTGACTGAGTTGTAGACAGTGAAAATATCCATGAAGTCGTTCTTTTACACAAACTAACTGCTATGTAGAAAGAAAATGGTTAAAGTTATTGTTATGACTTTATGTGAAATGTAGGTTACACGTGTCAACAGTAAGGATTGTTGAGTCGGTACTTAGTAATTAACGTAGAATTTGACACAAATGAAAATGAAACTGAGATGCTACGGCACGGCAGCACAGGAACTGATAAGTAAGCCAATCACAAAATAGAACCTGGCACTCATGTACATCACTTTAAGTTACCATACCTAATTTGGACAGGGATGAGATTGTCAAGTTAAATCTTAGAATAGTAGAGGTATCAACAGTATCAGTGGTGATAAAAAAGGTTAGGCATCGAAGATACGGTTCGAAAAAATAAAACTCAGTGAAATAAAAAGTTATGAAGAATTCGAGGGAAGACAAAGAATGGATGTACATGCACCATTGCAGACGTTTTTGAGCCAAGCCCTTCAAAATCTCTAACCATTGATTTCGATAATCACACGGACCAAATAGTCTATACCTACTAACATGACTCAGTCCAGTCGTCAATGACTTCATGAAATGACTCTACATCTTGCTTTAGCCGCCCTAAGCTTTTTTTGTGGCCTACTTCTATACCAGAAAACATCGTCCGTCGATGGAGGTGGTCATATCAGGCGATGAAGTCTTACTACCTCATCAATCGACTTGTCATTTGTACCTATTACCCTATCCTTAACAGACACTGGTTGCTTGATAGACCCAAAACGCACGAGCAATGCCTCGAAGATGCTCATGACCGAAGACTAGAAAACTACGGATATCCTTTACTCTTAATGTTCATGCTTCAAATCCATAAAGTAGAACAAAGCGAACTGCTGTATAGTAAACTCACCCTGTGGCTGGAAGACGGATAACTCACCTAGTCTACAAGTGACGCCAGTTGGCAAAAGCCAGTCGTCTTCTGAATACGTACCGGAATTTAGTCAGGCTCCAATCCATCAGGACTGGTGAGGCTGCCATTATAAGTGAAGCAATCGATAACTTCATCTACTTTACTCCCCATCATTAATTCGGGAGCTTATCTTGAAGTGATATTGTGAATCCAAAAGGGGAAAACCGCATCCCAAGCAAGTTTGCATTGTTGCCTAAAGTCAGAAAACTCTGCATTTTGTCACCAAAAAAAACTATATTATCTGTGTATTCTAAGTCAACAAGTGAATATCAATCCTTGAAGTGTTATCTTTAAAAGTGTGTCTATGACGAATATAAACAAAAATAGGAAAAGCGGACAGGCCTGATGAACAATTCCGATGACAGCTTGCAATAAGCTGACTCAACCAGTAGTGTTCGAGTAGAAAGCCTTACAAGGTTGATGTACTTCTTCAATATACCTTTTGACGAAAAACGATGCAACAGATTCTCTCAATCACTGGAGTTGGATGGTACCTTGAGGTCAAGGAACGCCATTGTAGTAGGACGTCAGGAAGCATGTCTATGTTCCTGGACACCAAAAGGCAAAAGATCTATCCGCCCCCAAATACCCTGGTACGGACGAGAGTGGGGAGAGTCTGCTCTCCCTCTCCAAATGCTCCCACATGGTCACGCGTATATAGCTTCTGCCAGGGAATTCCCACTCACTGCCTTCTCGAGGCGGTAGTGTTTTTTACGAAATTAAGAGGACGAAAAGCGAACGTCCGGCGCTTTAACCGGGTTGGTGGACATGGAGAGTTCACCTAGGGGAGTTGGGAAACCCTGATTCCAAACCAATGGTGCACATGGGCTCCAGGATCCTGAAGGAACAAGTGGCGTATGAACCAAACGTTGGTCACCGGCTACCATGGAACTGCATCTCCCTACGATGCTCCACTGCCTTGTGGATCAGACCTTCAGGTCAAAGGCTCGGGGTGTAGCCTCCTAAGAAAGCCACCTACTTCGGTTTGGGCACCCGGGCAGTATCACAGCCCTCACATATATCAAGTGAGATTTGTGTGACGCATATGTATTTGGTGCCTCCCTGTACTAATATCTATGTGTTAAAATAAATAAATAAGGACACTAAAATATTAGTCTATGTGATTCATCTGTGGTTGTCAAAAGAGAATATCATGGCAATAAAAGTGGATCAATACCTCTTGAAAGTATCTAAGACAATCAACCCACCTTCGTGCACAACTATTTCTCTTGTATTTCAAACATAACTTCCAGGTCTACCTAGTTTTCTTATAAATGCTAACTACTTTTTATCGGATGCACTAGATTTACGAATCAGTGAAGAATAGCCCCATTTCTTTCTTCTTATCAGATAGATTGAATTACACTGTTAGATCTCTAAAACGCAATGCTTATAGCACTTTTGAGGTCTATCCGTCTTCAGATTTACCGTGTACTCGCTCCCCACTTCAAATTCATAGTTTCATCCAAAAAACCTTTGTTATTATGTTGACTTGAAACAAAATAAGTTCCAAAAGCCCTAGTAAGACCCGAGATAAGCATTAAAAAACAGCAGAAAAGTTAGACAAATTGTTCTATATTGAATAACCTCTGCACAATTTTAGCAGAATACAAATACTGACCAGCTGGAAGAATTAAATGAAGCTTTTTTCTTACAGATATCCACAGAGTAAAAAGAAGCAATCAGTATTACTAAGGTGAGAAAGTGGATAGAAAGTCAATGATCACTTCTTATCACCCTTAGGAGAAGCAGCAGTATCCTTTTCGCCTAAAGAAAAAGATTACACGAGGAAGAATACTTACCTTCATTATTTGAGGTCCAAAGTGTAAGATTATCCCTTAATAGTTGCATAATTATTGTTGAATCTTTGTAGCTTTCTTCCGATAATGTATCTAGTTCAGCGATAGCCGAGTCAAACGCTACTCTTGCACACTTGCACGCTTGTTCACAGTTATTAAGAATCTCATAATAAAACACTGAAAAGTTTAGAGCAAGACCTAGTCGAATAGGATGAGTAATGGGAAGTTTTTCAGCATCCTCTGCAGCTTTTTTATATGCACAAAGACTGTTTTCGGCTGCGTCTTTTCTTTGGTTCCCGACAGAAAACTCGGCTCTATAGCGATAATAATCGCCTCTCCTAAACAAAAAATGCACTGAAACTAAAACAATACTAACATTTTATTTAGGAAGACTTTTGATTCGTCTGAAACAGCTTTTGGTAACAGGCAATTATCCAGAAGGTTTAAAATACTCGTGCATATTTCGTCTAACTCTTTTTCCACTTCTTCTCGAAATCTCTTGGTTATATGTATTTCGTCTGACCCTTAGCTTCATCTTGGCTCTCCTTTGAATTTATTATTCTCCACGATGATCGGCGGGCACCAATGACGTTTTTGTATGCGACAGATAGAAGGTTTCGTTCTTCGACTGTTAGCTCAGTTTCGCTATTCGTAGCTATCTCAATCATAGCTTTGACCATTTCTAAAAGGGGTTGTCGCGATTAGTATAGTGATTACTAGTCCAATTAAGTCGTGACATAAAATTCATTATTCAGATGTCAAGCATGGATTGGTAATATCCATGAGCTTGATGCAAAATGTAACCAAGATCTTCAGACAAATGTACACAAATTTCTAAAAGCCATTTGAATAGTCAGTGGCGAAACGCAATAACGTAGGCTTATGAAGGCACTAGAGACTGAGTCGTACAATCATGATCTTGCATTCAAGAATTCCACGTGAAAAGAAAAGCAGTGCGATCGAATATACTGGGATCAAAACTAATTATGTGGGAGTATAATGAACTCAAGATCTGAACAAATTACAATGCCATCCCTCCTATAGTTAGGAATTTTGATTCGGTTAAGAAATTGCGTGGCGACCTTTGGGCGACGGTAAAGTTATCTTGTGAGTGTCCACCTATTAAGTAGGACTAAATGAGGGTTATAAACCAATGCGAAGAATTAGAATTTTAACCTACAGTGGATGGTTGTGGTGAGGAATCAAATTAGGTTTTTCATCACGAATTGACATCAGCTAAAATACCGAAACGCTATTTAGCCAAATAGATGAGTGGATTTCGCGCGAAAATCTAGAACCTGGTATCTTATATCTGGCTGGTTCGTTCATAAATCATAGTCTCGCCAGAAACTGTACATTGAAACCAGAAATCAAAGGAGCATTACATACTACGTGGTATCTTATTAGACTGGTTTAATTGTGGTTGAGAGCCAACATACATCAATGGGACCAAAAGCGTCTGAATATATTTTGAGGTAAATGACTCAACTGGACACTTCGTCCAACACATCGACAGCAGAAATGAATACTAGAACTAAGGATATGAATAAAAACAAAATCCGTGTCCATAAAAGAGAACACATACTATAAATTTCCTGGGGTTTGGATAGGATTTATTTGCACTTTTGTTATCCATTTTAGACTTCCGTTTAGTTCTCAACCTGTGACTTTTGATCTAGAGAACCAAATACACGATGTTGAAATTCCTTCATATGGTTAACATTAGTTTTGAATTTATGGACTAGCAACTCGTATAAGTTTGAGAGCAAATACAAAGTAATAGTTATCCTTAATTTGACTTTGGGTAATTAAGCAATTGCAATGCATAGGTTAGTCAATACAAGTTCAGTCCTTCCTTATTATTTAAATTTAGCAGCTAGCTATAACGCAACTCATTAAGCAGTTTCCCTACTGGAAAAATCATATATGGCCGGACATATGCAAAATGTATATTTCTAATAACATACATTTTTCGAATTAATAGGGCAGGTAGACATTCGAGGAGACAAAGTGAAACTTTCACCTAAAGGATTAAAATGGGTCAACCAAAATATGCTGACTTGATGAAGTATAGAGGTTGGGGTCAGAAGTAATAAAATAATATACAGGACTTTATCATGGAAATGGTTAATCCCAGTAATTGAAGTCCACTCATACATACAGATGGCATTTGCAAGTAAATTAACACACGTACTTCTGTATACATTTATACCCAGTGTTTGTAGATATATAAAACAAAACATTTGGAGAGATTTTGACTCACCATCATATCGTTCAGCTTGTTCACATATTTTTGCAAGAACAATGTTCCTCTCTCTTAACTCATCCATGGCCAAAACTCAAATGTTGAACGGATGCACGTGTTAAGGACACTGATTAACTGTAACAAACAACAATGAGCCAAAAGCTGAGAGCATAGTTTTAACTACTTCATGGACGTAACTTCCCCGACTGTCAAGAAAATACAGATAAAGTACACACTCGATCCAACACTAGATCGTTCAGATAGTCATTTGATACTCGAGCGCCCTTTACGGAAGAAATGTTTAGTTCCCACGCGATTTGCGTTTGTCAAACTTTTCTTGTGTCCTTACACAAAAGAGCACCATTTTTGATCTGAAGAATCTGTCCTAAGCTAGACATTTAGTAGACTACTTTTCTTTTTGAGTTTTGCCCGATCAATTAATATAGTTTTCCACGTCGAGGCTGGTCTTAATATATCCAAACCTTTTGTACCACCGGATTTAGCCGTTTTGAATATAGTGTTTTTTTGTTTCACGGCCTTAAACTTTGGCTAGGACCATATTTCACCATGGTCATGAAAAACTCATGTAAGCGGCCTGGATGCTGTTTTGCTGTCACCCGTGGTATGTAGCGTGACAAATACAAAGGTCGGTTTCGCAAACTATGCACAGATCTTATGGCAACTTATTACAACAGACTTAGTAAGTCAGATCACATACACATGCAGCATGAACGATGGGGATTTTCTAAGAAGCAGCATCATCCTCTTGATAGGTCTACAAAAATATTTTCAGGAACCCTCAGAAAAGGCAGTGCTGAAACGAATAAATGAATATAAACGTGGAGTGGAGTAGAAAAGAGGGTCTTCGACGACACTAGTATTGATGGAACATACATCGACACTAGTCGAGATATGCTGAAGCTCTGTACCGCCATAAAACCGATGGTGTTAGACTCTTTCGACAAACTTATGTCCTCCAGCACAGGCCCCTTAAGCGCAACTGTGGTCTTAGAAAATTCTGTTGGCGAGAGGACCGTAGTTTCATTATCGAAAATACCGAACAACTCATATCTTGTATGTGAATCAGCTAGTGACTTGGCTGTGAAATCTACCTCTAAGATTGTTCAAACAGTCAGCATAGAGCACGGAAATCCGGAGCGCAATCCAATTAGCAAACAGAAGGACTCCAACTTCAACGCGCCCGAAAAACTTGGAAAGCCATCATGGTTCGAGATTGTTCTCTTGTAATCGCGAACGCTGAAGATAACTTTGACCTACCTCTCAGTCTTCAGGACAAAATGAAAGGATGCTTTGGGAAGGGTTGAACTGAAAGCTCGAACTTCCCAAAATTGAGCCACTTACTGTTACACGGCTCATTCGAGAAAGGACTCGGGACACAAAATTCATCCAAGACTCCTTCGTGTACTGCTCATGAACATTGTCGAATTGGAGGGTGTTCTGTTGTCCAGCTACTTGCCGAAATAAGTAGATATAAGAATACTGCCTAATGTACCATATTCTAGACTCATTCTCATAAGAAGCATTCCTGAGGCATCTTGAGAGACGTTCTCTTGTGGGAGAAATATCATTGTGCAAAGTGTCCCAGAAAACGTGGACTCCGACCATACAGACTATAATATTCTGAAGTGGAAATTCATAAAGCAGTCCTTGGAGCTCGAGAACATAATGACTCGACAAATGGTATGACTACCGAGGAGAACAGGGACTGTAGCCCCCGGATAATAAGGATAATCTTCCCATCCTGCCATATGGCGGCTGCCACTCCCGAACCGTTTTGTGCCAACAGATGTCGGTTGACGACTGGACTCCACATGCATCCGGACAGGCCATATGATGCAAAGATCAAGCACAAGAGCAAGTTGGAGCTGATTACTCCATTTGCGGACTGTGAAGATCGTGGAAAAAACGCAGAAGGGACAGGGGCTATCAACTTGGAAACTTCAATGTGGGTAGCTTGCCTGTTTATTTACATAAGGCTCATTTGTATAAACAGGACGAGGAAGCTCACACGTCTCAAAATGAAGGCATAAACCGCCTATATATGAACACCGGGAGTTTTCCCGATAAAATCGATGAGTTGCGTGACTTAAGTGATACTAATAACCCTCATCTGATAGGAATACCTGAAACATGGATATCTTCTCAAATATGGATCAGGAGCTAACAACACGCGGCACGTCTTCGCTTATCAACGACTGAAAAACAGGAGTGGACGGAAAAGCAGACCTGTACCTGCGATCCTGCTTGGTAGCACATGAAGTGCGTACTCAAGAGTTCATCAATTTCGATGAATCTGTATGGTGCTCATTGAGATTGTCTAAAACCTCAAAGAGTCTAGTTAGAGTCATCTACAGGGAGCCCACTGCTGACACCAAGTGCGATAATCGCATGCTGGATTATCTCACTCTACATGTCTTGGGTATACTTGTGTTCAATCTTCCTAAAATCAACTTCACTGAACATATGTACATTGGAGGTGACAACCCTACTAAGGGTGAATTTATCCGCAACGCAACCATGTAAACTTAATGTATCGCCCAGGGTCATTTGTGCATTCAAGTAGCCACAGATTTTGTCATTTCATAATGTATTTTTAATAAAATAACTAGATTATGTAGTTAATTTTCCTGTCTTTAATTTTTATTCGCCACGTCTAACTGCGTTACACTGAACGTCCATTGCACGCTGGGATAATATATCAAGTCATAGTGAGTTTATTCACATGGTTGATTGTTTCCAGATAGACTGTCAGTGCATGATTTTACTGGATAAAGTTTTTTTGTACTGTTTTTATGAACAACTGCCTGTTGTCTTCAATATGAAAGCAGTACATATGTATCCTTCGTTTTCTCTTAGGTAAGTTTGACTGGCCTATATTTCGTGTTTTGGTTCTATCGGCTGAATTATGTTCATTTGACTCCGTTTAGCAAAATGTCTGTGCAAATGGAACAACAATTATGACACTTGCTTAGTTTAGTATTCCTGATTGCCGTATAATTTAGTTTAGTCTATAGAATTATAGTATACTTAAGTATAGTGCTTGAAGCCTGTAACAAAACAGATCAGTTTAGTAAGTAGAGCTGCCTGTTTTTAATGAGTATACTGATTCAAATCAGTCTGATTAAAAATAGGAAAAAAGTGCCTTTGGTACTGTTGCTGTCATACATTTTAAGATAGCTTTAAGTACGTTTGGTGTTTATTTGTAGACAGTACGTTTAACGCTGTTCATGTTTCAAGACCACTGTCATTGAACGATTTCCCCAGCAATAACATTGGTAGCAGGATAGCTAAGTGTCTGAGCTATTATTTGCCTGCAAAACAGCAGTATACAGTCTTAGATGAGGAGTGTTCTGTCTTAATTAAATGCTGCTGGCTGTGGACAAATGTTAAGAGTCTTTTTGACAACTGGAACTTTTAGTTTACCAGATACTAAATCAACTTGTATATCATCCTGTAAAACCAGACGCAGATGCGTGGGAGCAAAATAATAAAGCTGTCTGATGCTGTACTTTGCACAAGTTTTAGTAGCTGGCGTGATCTGATATTTATGAAGTCGAGGTAAATCACAACTGCATAAATTCTTTCCTTAGAAACATGTAATATGTTTATTTACCTTTTCAACATTCTTGACTAAATCCATTACTATCTTTTATTTAGAATGTAACAGGAATGAGCCATCACAAATCCTGCAAAGTCGTTCAGCTTTATAACTATGGCCCTATGAAACTTTATGGGAGACCCAAGTAACAGTAGATTATTTAAAGCGTATCGGACGTCCACTTTAGTCTCACAACCACTTCCAATGTTTTGGAATTACTTATTATACCCTGTCGTTTGAAAAGAAACAACTACTGCAGCTTCACTTTACCAATGCTACAATGTAATTTGGAACCTGTTGTAAATAGTTGTTTCATATTCCATTGTTAATTAAAGTTCGTGAATAAATTTATAGACTTGGTGCTATTTCGTTTTATCTAGTTAATCGTTGCAAGAAACTGGTGAAACGCGAGCCTGTCAGCACCTAGTTGATATGGAGTAATTTCAAGTTAAGACAGTTGACTCAGTTACACATCCCAACAGTCCCTACCTGTAATCTTAGTTTTTGATTGAAATACCATATGATAAGTAAGCAACGGGAAACCCCTAAGTCCGGGCCTCCTTATAACCTATTTCAGCCGCCATGATGAGTTGCAGTAGTACGTTGATGGGTACGCGTTTAAGCCATAGTTGTTTATTGGGATGCCGTCGGATTTCCAATCAATACCTTAGCTACACTGACGGGTCACTAGTACCGTGAGTGTACGCGCTCGTCAAAACACAACTACAGGCCCATTCAATGTTTTCACCCCCTTATACCAAATATAGCAAGAAACTCTGTATTTAGTGAATACAAGACTTTTATTTGATAAGGTATTAACAAAAACTGGCAACGCAGCAGACGCACATGACGAGATTTGTGTTCATTGATTATCTGAAATACAGAGTACGAGTATTAGCTTTGTGGAGATAGGCCTGACAAGCTTATTTTGTAAATAGTTTTTAATATTGTTTGTGTTTATTTTGTCAACCTTTCACTGTCTGTATATTTTATCATTAAATGATTGTACCTGTTGTTTTAGTAAATGACCTTGAACACACTTTTCGTTGTGATACTGACATAGCGTGACATACTCTTGCTGGCTAACAAATACACTACTACTCCTACATTCCTCGTTCTATATTCGTTTGTGATTGAGTTAACTGAAGTTTAAATCAAATACTATCTACGTTTATAGACTGTAATTGGAGTATATTACATCCTACGTTGGATTATATCACTGAAGAGTTCGTCAACCAGATTGGAATTACCAAGCATTTATAATTGTGGTTTCTTAGTACCAGACCAAAGCCGAACACGCGTCAATTTGGTGAACTTAAGTAAAGTCCCAACTTTCTATTGTATTTGTAATAGTTAACTTATATATATTAACATTTCTATTGACCTTTATTAACTTTGTTGATACGTTTTGGGTTTATATATCGTCTGTTCCACCACAGCTTGATAGATGTATTTATAAATACTTA